GAAAATTATAATCCAACAACAATTATGAGGCCTCCAGTACCACAACCCTCCAGTATATGAACTTCCCTCACTTTTCTGGATCCACATTTTTCAGTTTGCCAAATAGTTTATAAAGTTTCAATAGTTAAAAAGTTTTTGCTGTCTCTTGTATGAGATGAGCGTCCAGAGATGTGACACTTCATGGCAGAGTGAACATTTCCAGTCCTTTTATGCTGCCGATATAATGAAGGGACTGGATTCCTGTTGAACAGCCTACCCTGTCTTGCTTAGTTTGGGCAAGTAAATGTGTGTGAAATGGCATCTTGTGAAATGGAGTCTAGTTAAGGAAATGGAAAACCAGGAAGGATTTAGGGAGGTTATGATACAGTGGGAACAATGGTTGACTTGGAAGCAAGGCTCTAAAGAGCAACAGGAGAGTCCAGGTTCTGTATTCCTGAACCCATTCCTGATCTTGACTGATCTCCATCTTTTCTACTTGTCTCTTGCAGACTGCCATATTCTGGCTACTTTGGAGGTGTCTCTGGTCTGAGCAAGACACAGTTTCTGAAGATCAATGGCTTCCCTAATGAGTACTGGGGCTGGGGTGGGGAAGATGACGACATCTTTAACCGGTGCGTAAGAGGCTGTGTTGGCCCCAATCTGGTCAGTGCTTGTTTGCGGCAGGTTGGTTGTAGTAGGCATGTAATCCCTCTTCCATGTGGTATTGGTGAGAACAGGAGGGGAGGGGTGGGATAGTGTTATCTTGTGAGTTGGGATATGTGCACAAATTACAAATGCTGGCACATAATAATTATTTTTCCTAGAATGATATTTCCACATCTGGAACAGGAGGGTGTGTAGACAGACTGCTGTTTAACAGAAAAGAAACAACCAGACATGTATCTGTGAGCCAGAGCTCTGAAAACTAGGATTGGGGAGAGGGCTGATGGGTGAAAAGTGAGAAACTAATTGCTGCCTTATTTTGAGTAAGGGCAGAACACGAGCATGTTCAAAACCGACCTTTTTTACTGATCCTCTGAGCTACAATTTTTCTTTGCATAGGATCTCGCTGAATGGCATGAAAGTGTCCCGTCCTGATGCTCGCATTGGGCGTTACCGCATGATCAAGCATGAGCGTGACCGGCACAATGAGCCCAATCCCCAACGGTAAGAGAGCCAATACTGCCTCCATACATTGTCTTCTGCAAGCTAAGTAATCCACTTGCAACCTAAAAATCTTTTCTTCTATTAGGAAGCATTGCACACAAAGTACACAGATATGTGGCCTTCCCAAAGTTGGTGGACTCAAATTCTCATCTGCCATGACCTTGATGCCACTGGGAATTAGAATTCAAAACATAGGAAGAGCCACAAGCATAGCTGGAAAAGTTACTTTAGAAGACTTGAATTGATTGTTCCAACTAGAGCGAACCATTGAATCAGTTTATATAAGTGTAGATTTACCAAGTTCTCCTAGATTCATTAGTCTACTCTAAATGGGACTTGATACAATGCAATTTATATGAGTGTAGATTTACCAAGTTCTGCTAGATGCATTAGTCTATTCTAGATGGGACTAATTATTGGATTTAGACCTTGGACTTTGACTCCCAGAATCCTCCATGGGAATAGCTATTCTTTATAGAAAATGCTGAAAATTTCAGACCCAGAAATTGACAACTACTACCTTCTAAATCAGAGGAGACTTAAGTTTCAATATCCAAGGTACTGGGACCCATCTCCAGAATAGATTCAGCACTATGAATAGCTCATTTAAAGTTTGAACTATAGCCCAGATCCTAGAATCACCACAACACTAACATAGGTACCATCGGTTGACTCTGCCAAATATTTATTTTCTCTGTTGTGGCTGTAGGTTTCCTACCTCTACTTTAGTATGCCCATGAAATTGTCTTGACCAGTATACAAGCTCCCAGTTTTTCTTACAGTTTCCTATTAGTGTGTATTGTCCTTTTCCCTGTCTCATCACCATTTCAGTTCTTCCCTTTTACTATAATGAACTGTACACTGGGATTAAGAATCCTGGTCATAAACCAGGCACATTTATTGTACTGATACTGGGCAGGGAAGGAGAATGCTTTGTTGCTATCTGGAATTTTCATTATGTAGAATAGAGCTTTTTAGACTGCAGTTTTAGATGATCAGTGGACATGCTGCCTGGGGGATTTTGAGAGCTGTAATCTAAAGATATTTTTTCAGCTTCTGATATAGAACCCAAGACGCGCCTAACCTAACAGGGTATCCATTTTGGATCATTTGAAAACTGTAAAGTAAACCCAGCTTCATAATACCTTGTCTGTCAGAAGCATATCCACATTCTACTTGAAAGAGTAGGGTAGCTTTTCTAGCATACAGTTCTAAATGCATTCTAGATGTTTAGCTGTCTGGGCTTATGCCATGCATTCCAACTGTGGGAATATCGCTAGAGATTATTTCAGTTTCTTCCCACAAGTCTCAGTTGTGAGTGTGTTCCTTGAGGCTCTGGGCCAGAGGTGTCAAACTTGTGGTCCTCCAGATGTTTGGACCTCCAACCTCCAGAAGCCCTTGCCAGCCTGTCCAGCGGCCAGAAATTCTGGGAACTGTGCCCCTCCACCTTGCATCAATCTCAATAATAATAATAATAATAATAATAATAATAATAATAATAATAATAATCTTTATTTATATCCCTCTCCCTCCCCCTCTCCCCAAAGGGATTTGGGGTGGTTTACAACAACAACAACAACAACAACAACAAACCCAAATACAATAAATCATAACACAAACATATAACACAGTTGATAAAACCAAAATGTCTCAGTAGTGTAAATATAAATAAACGGTTTAAAAGACTGTTAAGTCCTCTAAAAGCAGTATAGGTATAAACATAAAAATGAGGAAGGGTATTGCTGCCACAGGTTTGACACCACTGCCCTAAGCCTAAAGGACTGTGACTGCTGTTTATGTGTTCAGAGGAAACAAGTCCATTTTAGCAGTCCATACAATATTAATAGAGCAAGATTCAGAAAATATTCCATATGCTGGAGATGTTATTTAGAAATACCTGAATTGTTCATTTGTGATCTCTTAAGTAGGCACCTTGTGTAATCGTAATTGTTAATGCCAAACTTTGGTGTATAATTGGATTATCTCTTGATTCTCCCGACAGGTTCACCAAAATCCAGAATACCAAGGTGACCATGAAACGTGATGGCATTGGCTCACTGCAGTACCGGCTGGTGGAGAAGCAGCGCCGTCCCATGTACACCAATGTAACCGTGGAGATTGGCCGGCCACCCCCGCGTCCCCCTCGGGGTTGACTCTTTGCTGCCTGGCCTTGCCCATGGCCCCATGCATGAGGAGCTGTGTGTATTCCAGCCCTGACTGGTTCAGAGGACTGTGTCCTGGCTCGGAGGACCTGTCTGCCTCCTTTGTGGGGATGGGGGGAAAGGCCACAAAAGAGGTCTTTGCCTTGTTCTGGCCTTTGACTGGAGCCCATCTCCTTATCACTAATTGGTTCTTCACAGTGCCCTTTCACAGATTGGGGAGTGAATGTTGAGTGTGTTACAGTGCCTGGCTTAGCGCGTGAGGGTTCTGGGCACAGCCAAGCCCCATTCCTGGTTGAAAGGTGTCCAAGAGGAGAGGAAGACATGTGCAGGTCTTTGGCAGAGCCCATCCTCTCCCGGAACTCTTTGCAAGGCCATGTCCCTAACAGATTCCAGAAGTACAATATCTGTCCTTTCTTCTTCTCCTCTTCCTTTTCCTCTTTGCAGCCTACAAGACTACTGCCTTCTTTAGCCCTCCTTTTAGGGCATGGCATGTTCCTGTGCCAATGGCCAGCTATCAAGGTGGTTCACTTGTGCCCAGTTTGAGAAGAATGCCATCCCAGCAGAAGCTCCTGTAGGTCTGGCCACTGCCCACCTCCTTCCATGGCTTGGTGCTGCCCCCTGCTGGGCCCTGGCTGTCATTTTTGGGCTCTAGTAAGACGGGGTGTTTCATACAAATGTTCATTCAGAATACTTGAGTGCTTCCTGGGATATTGTGGCCTGCAGCTTATCTGGCAAAGGCCAACGGACACCTTATTCCTCTACTGCTGGTAAACTGGGAAGTGTGGTTGTCTCTCTCCAACAGGATGGTTTCTGTTGGGTGGGCTTGCCTCTTGTTTCCATAGGCACAAAGTGCCCTAAGAACGGCGTTACCGAAAAGAGGAAGGTGAAGGTGGCTTCCTGTCTCTTCCCCTTTCCCCTCCAATCCACCATCCAAGCAAGCAGTCCTACCATCCTTGCACCATCTCCCAGGCAACTGGCCCCTGACCACTCATATTGCCCTTTTTGTCAAGCTGCCATCTGCCACCTCTTCAAGCCAGGCCCCTGGGTCTACTATCTGCTTGTGACTCATAATGGCCCTGTGCCTAGTAACCTGGAGCTAGAAAGCTGCTGGTGCCCCCTAGTTCTGTTTATGGTGCCTGGCAGGTAGACTGCACCTATCCACTTCAAGGTGGCAGCTGGGCCAGGCTTGAAGCCAGGCATCAGCGTGTTGCACAGCCCAGGTGTTGGTGACTTTTGTACATTTGAATGTTTTGATCCCTTTTCAAGCCTATGGTGAATGCAGCACTGATCACTATGATCAGACTTTTGTATTCAGTAAAGTTTCAAAACTTGGAGTTTCTTTGTGTCTGGAATTTGAGCAGGGGCGGTAGTTTGGGAAAGCACTGCAGGGGTGAGTTTATACCATTACTGCATCAGCAGGGCATCTGTGGCTCTTCACACGTTGGACTGCAACTCTCAGGAGTCCTAACCAATAATGAAGGATAACGGGAGTAATGATCCTCCCTTCTTGATCTGTGGTCTCCCTTTTGGATTGCATTCACTGTGACAAAGTCCAAATGGCCAAGTTAACAACTAATTGCATTGAAACCCAATTGCAGCATCCTCCCCTTAGTCATCATGTTTGCTTTCAGTGGAAGCCACTTGGCCCAAACTGCTATATAACTGCTGAGCCCCGGAGGTGAGAGAAAACTATTCCACAAGAATTCTTTATTGTCACATGTTCCAGAACTACACACAAGTGAAACTGTTCATTAGAGGTATGGTTCATAAAAGATGTGTCTGTTTGATCAGAGTTGGAATGGAACTGATAGGAATTTGGGGGATGGGAGAGACAAGGTAGTTCTGTGAATAAAAGAGGACGCAAAGGTCGTCCTTTCAATCTAAGGGCTGAATTCAATTTCAAGGTTTTGGGGGACTATATTCCAGTGGTAGGTAGGGCCAAATGCAAAAGGGTATGATTGAAAGACCATTTACTGCCAGGGACAATATTAGGAGGGGCATTTCCATATTTTAGAACAGGAAAGTGCCTTTACAAAACCTAGGAAACTGCCAAAGGTTGTTAGAAGTATGGTCATTTGGGAAAATCCAGAGGCCCACAATCTTACCAATACAAGAAAGGGAATAAATCTGAATTATGGACTGGGATTGGTTATTTATGTAGTTAGAGGGGGCTGACTTGGGTTGGGTGATGCATGAACTCATTGGGACCTTTCAGTAAGATCAGAAGCTTAAAAGGTTTGCAAGAGAATTGTCTGAGAAGTGGCTTGGTGTGTGAAGGAATCCAAGCCTAGTGTCCAGCTGTAGCCCGGCATCCCCGTAGCCGCTCACATTTGGCTAAACGGTTTCCTTCCCAGTAGCCAGCATCTTGGCCATCATGACAACGGCATCGGGTGCAAGGCCCCACCCAGATACTCTCTCCAGCAGGAATAACCCGGCGCTGGCTCCCATCCACATAGCAATTGGGACCTGTGAAAACAGGATGGTATATTAAGATGCGTTAGTATGTGCTTCCCGAAGTTCTGGAAATCCACAAGTGTCTCCCCATGGCTGACCCTCAGTCCTGTGCACCCCACTGCCTAAGCTAACTCACCTGGTCTATGTTAGCAGATTAGCACATCATCAGTACTGTTTTTTCATTGGATCAGGAGGACATGTTATATACGAAGTCTCTCCCCTTAAAGCAGGGGGCACAACCAACTTTTTGCCAAATCATTGAAAATGGAAAGGTTTGCTGGTTCTCCTAAGTAGGGATTGATCAATCTTCCACTCCCATTGGGACAAGTGTCCCTCAGTGAATCAAACAGACAAGGATATCCCCATGGACTCTATTACTTATTTGATAGGCAGGACCTCTTTTTCTCACCGTCTTTGCAGGTTGGGCAGCATTGACCCTCCTCATAGAGGGGATTGACGCAAGGTGGAGGGGCACAGTCTGCTACTAGGCAGCGGGCAATGCCATCTAGGTCACAGGTACACTGCTCACACTCTGAGGGCTGCAATAGACAAAGATTGGTCAGAATGATGAAGTAGTTTTCACTGCTGGTGGCTTTCAATTTTTTTGTACAACAACCAGACTCCCTCAGCTAGAATCTTTTGAGGTATTCCAGAAGTGAAATTGCAAAAGGCAGATTTTCCACATTCTGTTCTGCATACAAAGACACGTTAAACAATACCCAGGAGTGACCATGCCTGTGTAGTGTTTTGCACTATATATGTTCACACAAATTTGTACAATGATTATTCCACATTTTACAGAAGAGAACACTATGTAATCACTATGAGCCATGTATTTTTCCTTTGTAACTTGGAAAAAGACATGGGTCTGCAAGCAAGTGAAATGTAACAACATCTAGCTGTGATCACAAGTTTCCCTACCTGCACCTGTGCTGTAAAGGTGAGTCAATTCAAGGTGTATCTTTTTCTATAATGCCCGAGGCCCCTACTACACTGCCATATAATCCAGAATATCAAGGCAGATAGTCCACATTTTCTTCTTTGAACTGGAATATTTGAGTTTACACTGCCAGATAATCCAGTTCAAAGCAGATAATGTGGGTTTTATACAGCTGTGTGGAAGGCTGAATAATAGGCTTGTGCACAGATTTGTTTTGTACGTTTCCCTTCGGCTTGTTCAGATTCCCTTAATGGCAATGGCTCTGCTACCATTTTTTTTTAACCGAAAAGGATCATGCGGCTGCTCATTGTGGCTACCTCAGATCTATTCGGGATCATGCGGCACGCGGAGCAATTCCCGTGTACTCGCACAGGATTTCCCTGTGAGCCATGCCTGTTGGGCCAATCAGAATAGAAGAAAGCCATGATGTGTCTTACACAAGCTGTGTCTATTTAATGGGGCTAACGTCTCCATTGCTCTAGCGTGCTTCAGTTCGATTGCATTGACACAGCTTTAACTTTAGGCTTGGCTCACTGAATCTAATTTTTTTTAAATTTCCTAGATTATTTTCTTGATTTTTTATTTAGTGACTGGGAGTTGTAAAGTATCCATGGCATGGCATTTGGGGACTTCTGGGTGGGCGTGCTTTTAAGGTGGTTCTGAGCTTTGAGTCAGCCTTTAGCCTTTACTGAAGCCTTTAGCTTCTCTCTCCTCCTCTGTTTCAGAAAGTACTTTTAAAATGTTGTTGTTATTAATAATTTTAAGAATTCCAGCAAACAGCAAAACAATTCTCGGAAAAACCTACCTACCTAAACCTATCATCAATGCCTAATAATTTATTTCCTTTGCAATCTCATCACAAGTTATCTCTGTTATTTTATTATATTTCTCTGTGTTCTCTCCCTTCTTAATTTCATTTAATAATAATTTGCCCATTGCCTATAATAATAAAACTATTGGGTTTCTGTGGAAACTTTTCCAAGCCAACAGAACCCATTGTCTCATTCCAACTCCAATCTCCATCAGGACATAAAAGATCTTGTTGTTTGTACTACTCAAAAGAATAAGTGTGGCCATTTCCATCCTGATAGCCCTGAAATGTCAGGAAAGGGACCCTGTGAAGCCCCCCCAATTTCCGCCAATAGGCTGGATCTTGCTGCATTTTTCAGCTGCAGACTGAAAACTGCTTTTCGGATGCCCACCTGTTTTCAAGAGGTTCAAAAATGGGCCCGCTGAAATTCAGGTAGCAGAAACAGATCGTGGTTCAGCTGAAGTGCACAACCCTACTGAATAGTTCTTGCATTACAGAATAAATGGTCATGACAGTACTAAGATGATACCATTAGAGGGTGCTGTCAATTGAGAACTGGTTGGTTCTATTGAGGAAAGAGCATATGTTCTGATCACTGTATTCATGTTACCCTGCCCACTCTACAAATAAAACATTTGTTGTTGGGACAAGATCTCAGATATTCTTGTAGCTTATCACTGGAAACACTAGGTGATAAGTTTTCCAAGTAAATCTATCAGGGCTCCCAGTAAGCTAAAAAGGTCCACAATTCTGTGGAGCAAACCAAGAATCAAGAATCCCAGACCAAACTATTGAAATATCCAGCAAAGGATGTTAACATCTCAATCTGCCACTCAGTGCTACAAGCAGAGCTTGAGTCCAATATTGTCCATTCCAAACTACTATTAATAGTAGATACCAGGGCCATGTAGTAGCTTCCAACAGTATTGAATCCTATTCTGTAGTCTCTTTTTCTTCCTGCTGGCTGGTATCTTTGCCCTATAAGGAAATTATGTCTTGCTGAGTGAAATCCCTATCTTTGGAAAGCAATTGAAGGATTGTCTGCATTCCCTCTTTGGGTAATGAGAAAATTGGGGATTTTTCAAACTGATATGAACAAGTTCATATTTTAAAAACTTTTAAAACAAATATTTTAAAAACATTATTTAACAAATTATTACATATCTCTATGAAAAAGGTCACCATGATGTTTTATTAGAATCTCAAAGCTACAAACGTGCATATATAGTATACCAAACTGTATTCAAATGCTGTGCAGTAGAAAAGACAAACAATCTGTAGAGCAAATCACGCTTGAACTCTCCCTAGAAGCAAAATGACTAAACAGAGGCTTTCATATTTTCTGTGTATGATAAAATAATGCAACATACCAGAAAAAAAACCTACACTGCTTTGTAAAGTAGATACTAGGAAAGAAGGAAAATCACATTACAGGTAGATTGATTCAGTAAAGGATGCTATAGCTCTGCGTTGGCAAGTTGTGAGCAGACCTGTTGGTGCCTTGGGTTCTTGGAGGTTTAATTTGTTGGGTTGCTTTAAGTCAGCAAATAACAATACTGCATACATACATAGTGTATCTAAACTGTATAGAAATTAGACATTTCCTTTTCTAATGTGCCCCTTTCCCATTTTTTTTAGGAAGGATTTTTCTAAGGTAATTAACTAGTCCAGTTGTAGTGTAATCTCTTCCATATTTAGTTAGAAATAAGTCCAGCTGAATTTAATGGGATTTAGCATGTGTAGCTCTAACCAGTTTTCCTTAGACTTTGACCCCCCCCCCCCCCATTTCTCTCAATTCTGAATCCTGTTGCCAGTTGCTGCAAAGATAGAGTATTCTAGTTCCAGGCATGGCTCTACTGAGTGGTTATATCTCTTATCTCAAAGGTCAAGGGTCCAGGTCAGCTCAATTTGGTCATCTTTGGTGAAGAATGAGTGAGAAGAGTTACTAGGGAATGTGAGTGGAGAATGGGAAGCATTACTTTTAAGGCAAGTTAAGACCTCAGCTGTTCATTCCAAAAGTCTGTATCGTTCCAGGGAATTTGAGCATAGATAAATCAGCTAATAGATGGGAGCTGCCAAAGGATAGTTTTCACCAAAGAATACCACACAATAAATGTTTAGTACATTTGGTCATCTAAATGAGGGCTTCTTTAACTTTTTTCCACTAAAGGCCCCTTCCTACCCTAGAAATCTTCATGGCTCTGGGTATATAAGTATATAAAATAGGTATAAAACCCAGATATTTACTGACAATAAATCACAATTTGCAAGGCCTGCTAAGCAGGCTGATTATTCTTTTTATGAAGTACAGCTGAAGCGTTTTTTTGCAGTCCACTGTAAACCTGCAGGTTGTTGCTGATAGATTCATGTAAATCTCTAGGTGGCATTCAGAAACCTTTTATTGTTACAAAAATTTCCACAACCCAACATTGAGCTAAGGGGATCCCATTTGGAGTTGGGAACCACAGTTCAAGAAGCAGTGATCTAGATAACACAAGCCAAGAAAATCAAACTTTTTGTAATAATCAGAAATAAGAGTAGCACAGTTACTTTAAATCAATTTTATGCTGATTTTTAAATACGTCTTTTATTTTTTTCATCACGTCAACTTTTAAAAATATGACAAATGGTATATTACAGTGGACTACTGTAAAGTCTGCACATTTCACATGTTCGAGTAACACAAGCCAATTGAATAATTAATTGAATAATTAATGAAAATGCATTTACACATTGATATAAATTAGATTCTATTGATATCAGTGTGTAAATGCATTAATTCTTTAATTAGCCTCATCACAAAAAACTACACGTGATAGAGGGAAAAAAATAAGCAGATCTGAATTCAACACAAAAAAAAAACCCCTATAAGAATGATTTAAAATCCTATCTGATGAAAAATACTTATTAGTGTGTGTGTAATAATAGACAATTCATCTGAAATGAAGTCCTCTGTTCATTCTTTGGCTAGTGGCATGGATTTAATCTTTATTAATCGAAGCTCACATACTTTTTGCAAATGAGATCATGCTTGGGATACATAACAAAAATGTCATCATGCAGTATGTCAGACCCCTGAAACCCACCTTCAAAGCCAGGCATCCACAATGAGTGATGGGGTTCTGTCATGCTGGTGACCTACCTTTTTGCATTTGGCCCCAGCTATCACTAAGGCAGTGGCTCTCAACCTGTGGGTCCCCAGATGTTTTGGCCTTTAACTCCCAGAAATACCAATAGCTGGTAAACTGGCTGGGATTTCTGGGAGTTGTAGACAAAAACACCTGGGGACCCACAGGTTGAGAACCACTGCTAAGGGATGATGTATCCAGCCACCTCCTGATGGTGAACTGTGTGATAAACTGAAGCAGCAGCCCCAATGAGGTCCTACCATAGCTCTTTGTTGCATGTAGCATCGTTTGCTGGTGGAAGGGGATGAGCTCATCATTCTTCAGCACTCTGCTCATCAGCACCTCAGAATACCTTTGCTTGGCCCAGTTGTCTAGCTTTAAAGTATGGCTTAGGGATATAGTAGCCATAGCAATGGTGGCATGTTTGAAAACGTGGATACAAAACAGTTATGCAGTCTTAAGCCTAGCTTATGATGGTGCAAGTGCTTAAAAGAGTTTGTTCACAGATCCACTTTTCCCACAAGTGTGCAGACTTTCAGTCTCTCACCTTCCAATCTTACTCCTTGAGGATAGGACAGATGAAATACCAAAGTCTTTGACACTACACTGTCCAGCTCAGTTATGTCATAAATTGTTAGGACTGAGACTCAGTTCCTAAAATACATTACATGTAACTTTAGCAGCAATATATAATGATCAGAACAAAGGTGCTGAAGTGGTCAATGTCAAACTTTAAAAAAACAGATCAAAATTAGCTTCTATTACTAATAATATTTCCCCTTAGGAGTTGTTAAAAGAGGTTTTGCATTATGAGCTTGCCAACATCACAAGAGTTTTTTTTTAATTGAGTATTTATGTATGTATTTATTTATTTTCCCTATTTATATCCCACTTTTCTCTACCCTGAAGGGAACTCAGGGCGGCTTTACATATAGGCAACTATTCAATGCCTTTGACAACATACAGTTAAAATACATTTAAGTTAAAATTTAAAATTAAAATGAATGCACATTAGAACATATAAAATCATTGCATAAACTATTAAAATCACGCCATCCACAATTGTAATCCGGGGCCATTCCAACAAGCATGCACATATTCTGTAGCTGTCATTGCACTATAGTTAATCTCCAAAGGCTCAATCCCAAAGCCAGGTTTTCACTTTCCTTCTGAAGGTCAGGGGGGAGGGGGCTGTTCTAATATCACTGGGGACAGAGTTCCACAGCTGAGGGGCCACCACTCTCATTCCCCTCAGTCACGCCTGTGAAAGAGGTGCGACCTAGAGCAGGGCCTCCCCAGATGATCTTAATCTCCAAGGTGGTTCATAGATATGTTCGGACAGGTAAGCTGGGCCGGAACCATTTCAGGCTTTGAATTGTGTTCAGTAGCAGACTGACAGCCAGTGGAACTCACGTAGCAGGGGGGTTGTATGCTCCCTGTAAGCCACTCCGGTGAGAAATCTGGCTGCCGCTCATTGGACCATTTGGAGCTTCCAAACAGTCTCCAAAGGCAACCCCACGTAGAGTGCATTGCAGTAGTCTATTTACACACTTCTGGAACAAACATAAAAAAACTACCTTTTGGACTCCAACTCAAAAACCTCCGGGCACCATAGCCATACTGACTGGGGGCTTCTGGGAGTTGTAAAAAAAGTTTTCCCAGCTCTGTAGAAGTTTTTTTTAATGTTATGCATTCAGCTTTCTTTGGCTTTGGCTAAATATGGAAGAAACTTTCAAAGCTAAAGTAGGGAGTGGAGACAGCCTGGGTTCCTGCTTAAAAAAACCCCAAAACTCTCCCATCTTAGGTCTTCCTTTCCAGATCAAGATTCAAAAGACAAGTGATACCGTGATGAATACTCCAAAATGTGCGAGCAAGTCCTGAATCTGCAACAGACTTGAGCAGGAATGTTGATGACAGGAGAGAATCATAGAGTTGGAACAGACAGCAAAGTCCAGTCCATCCCTCTGCCATGCACTAACACAATCAAACACTCCTGACAGATGGCCATCCAGCCTCTGCTTAAAAACATCCAGAGGAAGAAGATCCCACCATACCAAGAGGTAACATATGACCCTCAAGAATTTCTTTCTAATACATTGTATTGTTTAGGTCAGGCCTGGGCAAACTTTGACCCTTCTCCAGGTGTTTTGGACTTAAACTCCCACAATTCCTAACAGTCTACTGGCTGGGTTACTGTGAGTTTTCTGGGGTGTATGGCCATGTTCCAGAAGCATTCTCTCTTGATGTTTTGCCCACATCTGTGGCAGGCAGTTTCAGAGGTTGTGTGGTCTGTTGGAAACTAGGCAAGTGAGGTTTATATATCTGTGGAATGTCCAGTGTGAGAGAAAGAACTCTTGTCTGCTTGAGGCAAGTGTGAATGTTGCATCTGGTCACCTTTAATGGCCTCATAGCTTCAAAGTCTGGCTGATTTCTGCCTAGGGGATCCTTTGGTGGGAGTTAGCTGATCCCGATTTATTCTTGCCTGCAGCCCCTTCCCCTTTAGTGTTGCTCTTTATTTACTGTCCTGATTTTAGAGCTTTTTTATCAAATACTGGTAGTCAGATTTTGTTCATTTTCATGGTTTACTCTCCTTTCTGTTGAAATTGTCCACATCTTGTGGATTTCAATGCATATTATTTGAGAACATAGAAATGCTAGACTACTCTAACAACTACCATGATAGAGGGTTGTTGTAGTCTGTCATGGTAAATGTATTGTCGAAGGTTTTCATGGCCAGAATCACTGGGTTGTTGTAGATTTTTCGGGCTGTATGGCCATGTTCTAGCAGCATTCTCTCCTGCCGTTTTGCCTGCATCTATGGCAGGCATCCTCAGAGGTTGTGAGGTTGTATGGCCATGTTCTAGAAGCATTCTCTCCTGATGTTTCACCTGCGTCTATGGCAGGCATCCTAAGAGGTAGTGAGGCCAGACCATAGATGCAGGCCATACAGCCCGAAAAAACAACCCAGTGATTCTAGCCATGAAAACCTTCGACATTTACCATGACAGACTACACAGAGAAGCCACTGAAATCCACAAGCATGTGGACAATTTCAACAGAAAGGAGGAAACCATGAAAATGAACAAAATGAACAAGAACTTATCCTTGAAGTGACTGGCTTGACTTTGAAGGAGCTGGGGATGGTGCTGGCCAACAGGAAGCTCTGGCGTGGGCTGGTCCATGAGGTCACAAAGAGTCGGAAGCAACTGAATGAATAAACAATATGAACAAAAACTCTAAAATCATAATAAAGAACAACACTCAAAAACAGGGGAACTCCAGACAAGAAACAATCGGGGACAGATAATCACATCTCAAAAAAGGATTCCCCCAGGCAGTAAGAAGCCACACCTTGAAACTGCTAGGCCATTAAATGCTAATCGTTAGCCAATTGAAAACTCACACCTAGCTCCAACAGACAAAGAGCTCTTTCTCTCACCCTGGACATTCCACCAACCCAACTCTCCTAGTTTCCAACAGACCTCATAACCTCTGAGGATGGCTGCCATAGATGCAGGCAAAAAATCGGGAGAGAATGCTTCTGGAACAGGGCCATTACAGCCTGAAAACTTACAACAACCCAGGCCATGAAAGCCTTCGACAACACAGTCTACTGGCTGTTAGGAATGGTAGGAGTTGGAAGTCCAAGACACCTGGAGGAGGGCCGAAGTTTGCCTTCAGTGGAAGTCAATGAAGTGACCAGTGAAGTGTGAGAAGAGGTGGTGCATGGTGAGCGTGCCAACTTCCCCTCTGAAGGTCCCGTGTTGGCCCCTTGGTGGAGGCGGCTCACCTGGAAGTGCTGTCCCAGCTCGTACACCTGCCCGCGGTGCTCGCAGCCCACCCTCTCGCAGCGTGGGCAGCAGTCGCTGGGGTAGTGGCTGACGTGAATGCAGGCGGGCGGGAGGGCGGCGCAGTCGGTGCGGGCGCAGGCCGGCCCTTCGGCGGTGCACTCGCACTGGGTGCAGTGGTCCCGGTCCAGGAAGTACCACTCGCCCACGTAGTAGAGGCTCCCGTTGGCCTCGCACGGCTGGACGGGCCCCGACAGCGCCAGGACGGGCAGCAGGCTGGCCAGCAGCAGCGCCAGCCCGGGAGCTCCCAAAGCAAAGGGCATCCTCGCCCAGCTCCAAAGGCTGGCTGCTGCTGCTGCTGCAGAAAGGGGCGCCGAGGAAGGGCAAGGGGCCATCGAGCTGGCTCCAGCCGGAGGGTCCCGCCTTTATAAGCAGCAGATGGCCAGGGAGCCCAGGCCGGCCTTTGTGCCGCTGCTGCTTCGCCTCCTCCTCCTCCTTCTCCTCCTTCCCGCCCCTTCGTGAAACCCGAGCCCCTTGGAGGGGACCCACAGGCATCCCCTCCCGAAATGGGGCTGGACGCGGGGAGGGCCTGGGGCCAAGGCGTGGCTCCCGGCAACAAAACCCTCGCAGAGAGGATGCCCACCGCCCTTGCATGCAGGCACTCGGACACCACTTTTAACTACTCGGCTTCGATGCTGTAGTTTTACAAAGCCTCTTCTAGCGCTCTCTGGCAAATTAGGCTGGGGCATCACCACATTCTCAGGATTCCTCAGCACTCAGCAGCTCAAGTGGTGCCAAGCTGCATTCATTCTTCTACCATGTAAAAATAATGCATTCTTTGGGAAAGTCACACTCTCTCAGCCTCAGAGGCAGATTAAAAGCATAAACCCCACTTGCCTAGTTTCCAACAGACCTCATAACCTCAGGCAGGAAGCAGCCAGTCTTTGAAGCTGCAAGGCCATTCAATGCTAATCAACGTGGCCAATTGCAACATTCACACTTGCCTCAAACAGACAAGAGTTCTTTCTCTCGCCCTGAACATTCCACAGGTATATGAACCCCGCTTGCCTCATACTCAGACCTCTGAGTATGCCTGCCATAGATGTGGGCGAAATGTCAGGAGAGAATGCTTCTGGAACATGGCCATACAGTCTGAAAAACTCACAACAACCCAAGACTCAGGGCAGTTGTGAATAACATATAACTTAGTTACAATTTCCAATTTCCTCCATATGTGGTGACTTTTGGGACATCCTGTGAGGGTGTATGTGTGTTGTGTGTATCTTCTTCTTCTTCTTCTTCTTATATACATAAAAATGTAATGTTCGTTTGTGGGATTAACATAACTCAAAAACCACTAGATGAATTGACACCAAATTTGGACGCAAGACACCTACTAACCCAAGGAGTGACCATCACTAAAAAAATGATGTTGTCATTTGGGAGTTGTAGTTGCTGGGATTCATGGTTCACCTACAATCAAAGAGCATTCTGAACTCCACTAATGATGGAATTAAACCAAACATGGCACACAGGACTCCCATGACCAACAGAAAACACTAGAAGGGTTTGGTGGGCATTGACCTAGAGTTTGGGAGTTGTAGTTCACCTACATCCAGAGAGCACTTTGGACTCTAACAATGATGGATCTGGACCAAACTTGGCACGAATATTCCATATGTCCAAATATGAACACAGATGGAGTTGGTTTTTTTTGGGGGGGGGGGTAGACCTTGAAAATTGGGAGTTGTAGTTACCTGTAATCAAAGAGCATTCTGAACCCCACCAACAACAGAATTGAGGTAACTTCCCACGCAGAACCCCCATGATCAACAGAAAATACTTAAGGCCATCCACTCCAACTCTCTTCACCAGGGCAAGAAAACGTAATCAAAGCCCTCCTGACAAAGATCCATCCAGCCATAGATATAGATATATTTGAATCACACATACAACGATATAGTATCATAGATTTGAAAGGGACCCCTAAAAAGGACAATATATGTTGCATGTTTTAGAGTAGGCAAACCAGACAATCTCCACATCAACACTGACAAAGACACAGCAAGAAATGCTGTTTACACACAAGCATAAAAACATTACATATATTAGAAACCAACACTTCCTAATTAATGTATTGTCGAAGGCTTTCATGGCCGGAATCACTGGGTTGTTGTAGGTTTTTTTGGGCTATATGGCCATGGTCTAGAGGCATTCTCTCCTGACGTTTCGCCTGGCAAGCATCCTCAGAGGTAGTTTATTTATCAAAATTTATCAAAAACAAGTCATGCCAGACTAATCTGATCTTTTTTTCGATAGAGTTACAAGCTGGATAGATGCAGGGAATGCCGTGGATGTAGCGTACTGGATTTCAGTAAGGCCTTCGAAAGGTCCCCCATGACCTTCTGGCAAACAAACTAGTCCAATGTGGGCTAGGCAAAACTACGGTGAGGTGGATCTTTAATTGGTTAAATGGACGAACCCAGAGGGTGCTCACCAATGCTTCCTCTTCATCCTGGAAAGAAGTGACCAGTGGAGTGCCGCAGGGTTCTGTCCTGGGCCCGGTCCTGTTCAACATCTTTATTAATGACTTAGATGAAGGGTTAGAAGGCATGATCATCAAGTTTGCAGACGACACCAAATTGGGAGGGATAGCCAATACTCCAGAGGACAGGAGCAGGATTCAAAACAATCTTGACAGATTAGAGAGATGGGCCAAAACTAACAAAATGAAGTTCAATGGTGACAAATGCAAGATACTCCACTTAGGCAGGAAAAACAAAATGCAAAGATACAGAATGGGGGATAATGCCTGGCTCGAGAGCAGTACGTGTGAAAAAGATCTTGGAGTCCTCGTGGACAGAAGTTAAACATGAGCCAACAATGTGATGTGGCGGCAAAAAAAGCCAATGGGATTTTGGCCTGCATCAATAGGAGCATAGTGTCTAGATCTAGGGAAGTCATGCTACCCTCTATTCTGCTTTGGTTAGACCACACCTGGAATATTGTGTCCAATTCTGGGCACCACAATTCAAGAGAGATATTGACAAGCTGGAATGTGTCCAGAGGAGGGCGACTAAAATGATCAAGGGTCTGGAGAACAAGCCCTATGAGGAGCGCTTAAGGAGCTGGGCATGTTTAGCCTGAAGAAGAGAAGGCTGAGAGGAGATATGATAGCCATGTATAAATATGTGAGAGGAAGCCACAGGGAGGAGGGAGCAAGCTTGTTTTCTGCTTCCTTGGAGACTAGGACGCAATGGAACAATGGCTTCAAACTCCAAGAGAGGAGATTCCACCTGAACACGAGGAAGAACTTCCTGACTGTGAGAGCCATTCAGCAGTGGAACTCTCTGCCCCGGAGTGTGGTGGAGGCTCCTTCTTTGGAAGCTTTTAAACAGAGGCTGGATGGCCATCTGTCAGGGGTGATTTGAATGCAATATTCCTGCTTCTTGGCAGGGGGTTGGACTGTGCCCATGAGGTCTCTTCCAACTCTTTGATTCTATGATTCTATTTTCCAGTTCACCGGACTGGGCCACAGCAACGCGTGGCAGAGGACAACTAGTGTATATATAAATACACACCACACATCCATATAAATGCATATTCTATGTTTATGTATGTTGGCAGAGAAAGAAGTTTGTCAAGGGCAAATAGGTTTATCAAGGACATAGTTCCAGCCCGCCTGTATGTGTGAATGTATCTGCATGTATTTTAAGTGTAACTATAGCATGGAAGCTTGATCCCACACTAGACTGGCTGTCCTTTCAACTGCAAGGGCGCGGCTCCTTTAAGAGGGAGGGTTTCCGAGAAACGGGGCGGGGCATTGCCATGGAGACGACCAGTGTATTTACCTCTGAGCTGGGGACCGGCGGGGAGGGTCAATGGGGAGGCCCTGAGAACAGGGAGAAGGGGAAGGAGAGACCCGGTTTAGCCCAGTTTTCCTCTCCGCCTTTTCTGGGTAAGGACCTTTGATTTTGGGACGACTGGGACAAATTACAGACTAACTTAGGGCAAGGGGAAAGGAGCAGAGGTTGGGTTATTTTTGGACTACAACTCCTATAATCCCCAGCCAGCAAAGGCCTTTCAAGCCCCCCAAAGGTGGTTTTAATCTGGAAATGGGTAGTGTATACTGGGTGGTCATGCCTGGGAATGAATGTGGGGTGCATCTGCACTGTGAAATTAATGTAGTTTGATACCACTTGAATGGCTGTGGGTTAATGCTGTGGAATCATGGGAGTTGTAGTTTTACAAAGTCTTCTGTGACAAAGCGCACAGATACCAGACCAAACTAGAGATCCCAGGCTGTTTCTACACTCTAGATCGGGTTGTGGCGCAGCTGGTTGGGAGTCAGCTGCATTAAAATCACTACTGACCGAAAGGTCATGGGTTTGAAGCCAGCCCGGATCGGAGTAAGCTCCCGACCATTTGTCTAGCTTGCTGTTGACCTTTGCAGCCCGAAAGACAGTTGAATCTGGGTTGTTGTAGGTTTTTTCGGGCTGTATGGCCATGGCTAGAGGCATTCTCTCCTGACATTTCGCCTGCATCTATGGCAAGCATCCTTAGAGGTAGTTCCAACAAACCTCACTACCTCTGAGGATGCTTGCCATAGATGCAGACGAAACGTCAGGAGAGAATGCCTCTAGACCATGGCCATACAGCCCGAAAAAAACTACAACAACCCAGTGATTCCGGCCATGAAAGCCTTCGACAATACAGCAGAATCTGTCAAGTAGGAAATTTAGGGACCGCTTATACAGGGAGGCGAATTTAACTATTTTACAACGCCATAAAACGCTCCAGCAGCATGCAAAAGAACGAGGAAGTACTCCATCGGTGTCACAAGTGGATAGTGAAGCAACAGCTCCCCCGGTGGCCGGAATTTGAAGCATACCCTCATGAAGCTGGAAAGTTAAATAGCCTCTGTGTGTCTGTCTATATATGTTGTGTTTCTATAACATTGAATGTTTGCAATGTATATGTGCATTGTGATCTGCCCTGAGTCCCCTGCAGGGTGAGAAGGATGGAATATAAATATGGTAAATAAATAAATAAATAAATGGGCAAACTTGGGCCCTCCAATAGTTTTGGAATACAACTCCCAAAATTCCTAACAGCCTCAGGCCCCTTCCTTTTCCCCCTCAGCCACTTAAGTGGGAAAAGGAAAGGGCCTGAGGCTGTTAGGAATTGTGGGAGTTGAAGTCCAAAACACCTGGAAGGCCCAAGTTTGGCCATGCCTGCTCTAGAATGAATGCAGTTTGACCTCTTTAACTGCCAAAGCTCAATGCAATTGAATCACAGGAAGTGTAGTTTTACAAAGTCTTTAGCCTTCTCTGTCTAAGAGTGCTGGAGCCACTCCAAGCTACAACTCTCAGGATTCCATAGCATTGAGCCATTGGCAGTTCAAGTGGTGACAAACCACATCAATCCAACAGTGTAGATGCACCCCTGGAGTGCATTGCAAGCATTGATCTGGCTCATAGGTTAACATGTCTTGCGGGAATGGGCCTTCCATTTGCAGCCTCACCTGTTTTTTTTTCTTTTACAGCATCAGGGACTGCTCCCATGTCCTTGCAGCGTGTTCCATCGCTCTGGAGGATGATCGAGGCACAATTCCCACCCAGCGAAAGGCTCGAGGTGAAGGCTGTCTTGGGTGACAATGTTGTGGAACAAAGCCTGGAACTTCACGCTGAGGTTAAGTACAGGGACGAATCGTTTTCTCTGAATGAGAGCTTTAGGCCAGAGGTGCATCTACATTGTAGAACTCATGCAGTTTGACACCACTTTAACTGCCATGGCTCAATGCTATGGAATCGTGGGAATTATAATTTTACAACAGGTTTAGCCTTCTCTGCCAGAGAGAACTGGTGCCTATTGGGATAATGGATTATGACCTGCTAAGATCACAACCTATTGGGGATAATGAATTATTTTATTTCCTGCTAGGATCACAACCTATTGGAGATTATGGATTATGACCTGTTAAGGATACAACCTATTGGGGATTATGGTTTATGATCTTTTAGGTTCATAACCTATTGGGTAGCAGAGTTATGGAGGTGTTCCTTTAGTTTATTGAGTAATGGATAAACAAACTTATGAGAGCGACTAGTTCTAGCCCAGCCCCAGATACTGATGAATATGGCCATATCTTTTTCTACCAATTATTCAGGTTACTTCCTCCTATTAGGCTCTGGAAATGAACAGCCATAGACTACCTAATTTCTCGGGCCCTCTACAAATTGCACTAGCTTCGGCCCGGCCTTTTAAATTGCCTTGAACAGACAGGATTATTTTAAATATATATGTGCTATTGTGATTTTTTATGCTTATATTGTCTTGTTAATTTTATTTTTATGTTGTTTACTTTGTATGTATTGATGATGTTACTTGGAAACCGCTCTGAGTCCCCTCGGGGAGATAGAGAGCTGTATATAAATAAAGTTTTGTTGTTGTTGTTGGACTCGCAAATATCTTGTTTCTATTCAATGCTCTCAGCAGACAAAGATTCAAGTAGGCTTCTTTTAAAATAACAAGTTTGTTTTACTCGCAACTTCATGTATTTAAAATTATACAGGGACATTCAGGTTAAACTTCAAAATGTTTCAGTTTCTGTCTTTAACTTATCGTCTTTATCAGTCTCATCAAAACTACATTGCTCTCTTTCATAACAGTCTACTTCCAAGAGACTCAAGCCTCAACAGTTTTCTAACTTTCTACAATGACATCTGACTGAAAAACAGACTTCTGTACTCAAGCTGACTCAAGGCTTAAAAGTTATTTCTCAACTGTCATTATGTTCTAAGCAGTCACATGACCTGCAGTCCCTCCCACTGTCTCAAGTACATAGAACTAAGGAAATTGCAAGCCAAAGAATATATACACTTCAGGAAATAAAACAACACATTATAAACAGACATAACATTAAATAGAGGCGGTTTGAGAAGGTTTCTATCTCCAACAGTGCCTCATCAAACTACAATTCCCAAGATCATCACACTAGAGAATGAATCCACTTTAAATCTGGTTTATGCCTCCTGTAGAATTCTGGGGTTTGTAGTTCAGTGAGGCTGTTAAAGGCTCCTCCCTAAACTACAAACCCCAGAATACTGCAGGAGACAACAACCGGATTTAAAGTGGATTCATTCTCTACTGTGATGAAGTTTAGTGGAGGCAACTTGGTTGTTTTGCAACAGCTCTTTACATGTATAGCCAGCCCGCTAAATCCATGGATTCTGTATTCAGGGTTTCAACCATCCACAATTGAAAATATTTTTCAAATAAAAAAGTTCCAAATGTAAATCTTGATTTTGCCATTTTATATTAGGGGCACATTTTACTACACCATTGTATGCAACGGGGCTTGAGCATCCACAAGTTTTGGTTTCCATGGGGTCCTAGAGCTAAATCCAGTTTGTGATTTGGCTGAAACTGGCCAGAGCTAAAACTTAGGGGCTTGTGAATTTCATAAGGCTCTTTCTCCCCCATCCCACATCATTTTGTCATTCAAATACTGGTCATAAGCAACAATGCACATGATTTTTTTTTACAGCAGGAGATATTTACTGAGAAGAAAAATGTATTCAGAAGGCATTAGCCGCTTTAGGGCTCCCCTTCCCTCATTGACTTTCTGACTCTGCTTTGGATCCTTTGTTGAAAGCTAGCATCTCTGCTATTGTAGAGGCAAAACTGTGGGGAGTCAATGATGCTGTCAGCTCTTCCCTTCTCTGCAAAGTCCCCTTTTCCTAGCTCGCAGCTCAGCTGGTTCCTAACGCTTGGCCAGAGTCCCTAATCCTTGCTATTCCAGGCCTTTTGTTCTCCTCCAGCCATCCAGGCCCTTTCTGCATTGGACCCAGTCCTAACGATGGCCAAGAAAAACAGTAAACATCCCAGAGACTTTCACATGATAAAATGTCCCAGAGACATTATATCTCCCTGAAAGCAGAACAGCAAAACATGTTGAAAAATGGATACCTTTTCCATTCACATGTTCACTTGCTTGTTCCCTGAGTTCAGTAGTCAGCTTTACCTTATCCTCTTTTGTAGATAGTATTGCACTACCCTGTTTAGACTTCTCACCTGGCTTTCTTTTATTTTTTTTACCTTATGACAAAGTTGCCTCAAATTCTGTGCTCCCCCCCCCCCAATGTGCCTTTTACCTTCCCCAGTTCTGATATCTAAGGAATCAGTTGTACCCTAGCTGTTTGCCGTGGATGTGATGTGCGAGGCCAAAAAGGGACATACCCTCCAGACGTCCTACATTGTGTTTATTGCAGCTGAGGATATTTTTGCTTTATGACCTTGACTTTCCTCCCACCAGGAGAGGATGGTTGTGCGAAGGGGATGCCCTCATCTTACCACCTTTTATGGAGCGTCAGTGACAGAGGAGATGACAATTCAGTGCCCTTGTGCCAACTATGGTGGAATGACAGCTTCCTTGTCCAGCCTGGAGAGAAGGGAGTGTGAATAGCTTTGGGCCGCATATTGAACCCTGTCTGCATGGGAAGCTTGTGCATTTTCTGCTCAAGATTAAAAGCCTAAAAGGTCTACACATAACAACCCATTAACTAATTTTAGGCTTATATCTCATTCCCATTCATGTTAAACTATATGGGAGGAAATGGGAACTTGCTCAGAGTACATCATAGAAAAGGAGTGAAACATGTGTGACTCCCTCCCTAATTTGGTGGATTACAGTTCCCACTAGGTTTACCTCATATTGCCACTAGTGAGGGATGCTGGGACTTGTGGGGGTGGGGGTGGGGGTGCCACTAATGAAGGATGCTGGGACTAATGAGGGATGCTGGGACCAACATCTGTAAGGCCACATATTCCTTATCCTGTTATTGAAGAATATGCCCAGTAGGGAATTCTATATTATAGAGTTAATTGTAGTCAGAAATACCTATGTGAGGTTATGAGAAGAGAGTGGAGTAAGCAATTGTGGGGAGGTGAGGGCAAGCTAGTGCCAACAATCAAGCTATCTTTATTGTATTGAAAGCAATCAAAATTTAAATTAAAAAAAGAAAAAAAAGAACAAAAACAGCAACATGTTACAGCAGCCTCATGCTGGTTTACATCAAATTAGATAAAATTATACTACATATTTTAAAAAATAGCATTTTGAGAACCAGTATCCCCTTGGCATGCTCTTACTGTAGTACGAGTATGGTTCAGTTCTTTGAGTATTGGATTATGGTTCTGGAGACCAGGACTTGAAATCCCAGTTGGCCACAAAAACCCACTGGGTGACCCTGGGCAAATCACTCTCAGCCCCAGAAAATGCTGTGATATATTCGCCTTAGGGTGGCAATAAGTTGGAAATGACTTGGAGGTGTTGGGTTTCATCCCTGGATCGCACAAGTATCTTGTGTCATCAAGTTTCCAGATGTCAGTGAGTAGCTAGACTATAGATAGGATTGGGCTGAGGGATTCCTCCCCTCACATTCCTATGAATGTTTCTCAAAAGGGCTTTGTGTTTTACTTTTCCTTCTTGCCACTGTCTCCTCCTCTTTGATGATGTAGCAATGTAATTCTGTGAGGTAACTTCCTTTTAAAAGGTATTTTTTATTGCCCTTGGGTTGACCACGTGGTTTCCTCCATTGTCTCTTGTACTTTTTCCATTCTTCCAGTAAGGATGCATTTTGCCTCTCTAGGCAAAATGTAGCTGCATAGACTTTTAAAAAACCTTTTTTTTACTTTTTACCTCCCTTAGAAGATGAGATTTAGTAAGCCAGTTAGCTCCAAGGCCTTTTCGATCTAGAATGTATTTATTTTACTTCAATAAATATTTCTTAACCTAAAGTTCTGACTCTGCAATCCTGTGCTATCCTATGGAGTAAAAACTTATCCCAGCTCACCACATGTAAATTTCTGCTGGTTATAAAGTTTACTTCTAGTGCTCTGCTATATTTATGGTGGAATCACCCCAACTGAAGGTTATTTTTTGAGTCTAACAGCTCAGATTCCCCAACAGAAGGCACACTTTAAAAGATAACTCACTTTCCCCCCTAGCACATGTTTTGATAATTGTATGAGCAGTGTTTTGTTATGAAACACAAGAGGTTTGTTAAAAATAAATGAGACCTTCCAGCGTTTGAGTTTCAAAATTCATGTACCATGCAAAGGGAATAGTGTATGTAAACTTTGTGAGAAAGGTCTGGGGGAGGAGGGGAGCAATAGTGAGAGGAGTTGCCAACAGGGAAATGAGGTATAGTAGAACAGGCAAAGATTGTCAAAGCACAGATTATTTCAAAAAGAGAGAAACCTGAAGTCAGGCAAAAAACATTTATTATGAAAAAATAATCATGAGTTGAGATAGTAGAGAAGCAAATACGCGTCTTACCATTCACTAGACATCTTCCCCCTCTTTCTCACAAATTACAGTGTTGATACTTGGTGTTTTTTCTTTCTTTTCTTAAAACATTACATACTTTGGAACGTTTAAGTCTCCTGAACCCCAACATGACAGTTTCCTACTATAATCTTAAAGATTATCCCAAATCTGTTTTTGTTCTTTGTTAATCTGAGAGTGAGTTACTGAAAGACTGTGTCAACTTGCTTGGTGTTATTATCTTGTTGAAATGGGATTTGTGGATTCATTTGTCGGCATGTCTTGAAACCACATCTCTGTGGACTGGTGAGGAGGAGATATACAAGACTATGTTGGAAATGAGGCTGAGGTGGAGGGGTTGCAGGGCAGTATTACCAGTTTCTATGTCAGTGTAAGGTTGTTTGAAGTTTTGTCTGCACAGTCCCCGATCCAATCTATTGTATTTCCTATTTACAGGTACAAACTTTGCTGGAATTCTACCAGGACCTGCAGTTGGGTCACCGAAGTCTGGAACCGAGCTCTGTACCAGCAAGCAACAGCTGGGCCTTGCTGGCTGCTCCTCCTAATCTCAAGGAGCTGGTGAGGGAAGAGATCCGCCTTCTTCTGACCAGACTGCAGCAAAAGGCTTTACAGGAGGGCAGGTACTTTTAGAAAGGAATCAGATGCTTAAAATCTGACTGGGTGCCTGGAGTGTGACAGTAGTAAGGAGATTCCTTTGTCAATTGCAAACTCACATTTTATGAGGTGTGACTCAAAACTGCCTCAAAAATTTAGCATCAGTTTGGAAGAGACAAGATATTTGGGGAGTTATAGCTAACACACCTGGCAGGTTACAGTTACAGGGTACTTCAGGTTGCTTCAAAAGAACTACATAAGGTATCCAAACAAAGCCAGCAAATTTCCTGCTTCTTGGCAGGGGGTTGGATGGATGGCCCATGAGGTCTTTTCCAACTCTATGATTCTATGATAGCTCCTTGGCAGTTTGGACTAAAGCGGATTTGCTACCTCACTGACATAGAAGCCACTAGGTCCTTCTAGATCAGGCACCCTCAAACTGTGGCCCTCCAGCTGTTTGGCCCTTCAGCTCCCAGAATTCCTGACACAAGCCCATTAGGGTTTCTATAAGTTGGAGACCCAAACAGCTGGAGGGCCGCAGTTTAAGGATGCCTGTTTTAGATATTGGGCATGGAACAAACACAACCTGTCTCCAACTGAGGTAGCTGGCAATTGATCTGTGTCCAAGGCATCTTTTGTCCAAGACAACCAAGTAGAACAGTGGTTCTCAACCTGTGGGTCCCCAGGGGTTTTGGCTTACAACTCCCAGAAATCCCAGCCAGTTTACCAGCTGTTAGAATTTTTGAGAGTTGAAGGCCAAAACATCTGAGGACCCACAGGTTGAGAACCACTGAAGTAGAAGGAGCTGAAGGTAGTTTCTCCTTCATCCTTCTCAGTGTACTTCCCAAGAAAGTCCAGTTCCAATGCTGTCTTACCTACCAATAGTAGTGTTCCATTGGATAGGCAAAATTGTTTCTCAGATGGCTATGTCTACCCAATAGGACTTGCATTAGGAGGATATTTGTATGCATAAGCGGATTTTCCATCTATGTTATAGTTGTGCCACCTGACTTCAGCTTTCAGCCCCCCCCCCCCCCGCTCAAAATCCAGGGCTGTGAATTTCCTCATATGTAGGATGATGAGACTCACATGATATCCTTTTATAAACAATATTTCCATAATTTTTGTTTTTCTAGCAGCTCTTGGAACCAAATGGATTGGTCCTTTTGTTTCTCTAGTATGCTCTGTATGCAGCCTGAGGATAGGGTTACATCCTCATACTTCCAGTTTCAAAAGGGGCATTCATCCGGGTAAGAGCCCAGATCAACAGCACCTGCAGGAACCCTTGGCAGGGGATTAACTCCCTGCCTTGCCCCTGTGTAAACAGCTGAAAGCTCAGTGGAGGGTGCAGTCAGGACAGACTGATTCAAAATGGATGAACTTTCTTTCTCAATTTTTCACTCACACATTGAAGTTATTTGTAGCATATATCTACCCTTTATATATTGTCACAATCCTCAGTCACAGGAATATACACTTTTAGAAGAGTTACTTTCTGTCTTTCCCCACTTTGGTGTAGCCTCAGGCTATGATTCCCTTTGGGCTGTTTAGAAGTGAGAAGAGTTGTCTTGTCTTCTTTCCTGTTTTAATTGGAGAGATTTGTCTGGCATGTATCCATGCCAAGAAGTAAATAATTGCAGACCATCTTTCTTTCTTATGCCTTACTACAGAGACCAAGATTGTGCCATTGCTAAGTATAGTCAACGTGTAGTCACCTTTGCTTTGAGGATGAATGCTGGCAGCAGTTGTCCTTCATCTGGAAATAGCACTCTCATCAGGTAAGACCCAAGAATGCCTAGGAGAAACTTCTAGACAATGAGCTACTGACCTCTGCCCATTCCTATCTGCACACTTACACACTTATGGCTGCCATTTGTGGCACCACAGATAGACCCCAACATCAGTACTGCCATATTTACTTGAATATAATGTACATCTTTTTTTGACTAAATTGCATAGCGAAAAATGAGCTGCACATGTCACAAGGGGGAGGTTTTGAATGTCTCCTGAATGAGGCCAGTTGGGGGAACTGAGTAAGGCCGGTGAAGGTGTGTGGCTTCCCTTCAGTTTTTGGCCCTTCAGCTGCTTGCCTCAGTCAGGCAAGCAGGGAAAGGGCTGACCAGCGAGGGCAATCCAAGCCTTTACACTAGCCTTGCTTGTTCCCAACAATAGGCTGCGGAAGGGTCGAAAGGGACTTACCCTCTCTCATTTTTCCGAATGAAGCAGAGAGTGTTTGAGGACTGGGACATCCGTAGGGATACCAAGGTGCTTGTTTATAGAGCTATTGTCCTCCCAAGTCTGCTATATGCCTGTGAGACGTGGACTGTCTACAGATGTCACATGTAACTCCTGGAACGATTCCATCAGCGATGCTTCCGGAAAATCCTGCAAATCTCTTGGGAAGACAAGCGGACAAACGTCAGCATGCTGAAAGAAGCAAAGACCACCAGCATTGAAGCGATGGTCCTCCGCCACCAACTCCGCTGGACCGGCCACGTTGTCCCGATGCCCGACCACCATCTCCCAAAGCAGTTGCTCTACTCCGAACTCAAGAACGGAAAACGGAATGTTGGAGGACAGGAAAAGAGATTTAAAGATGGGCTCAAAGCCAACCTTAAAAACTCTGGCATAGACACTGAGAACTGGGAAGCCCTGGCCCTTGACCGCTCCAGCTGGAGATCAGCTGTGACCAGCAGTGCTGCAGAATTTGATGAGGCACGAATGGAGGGCGAAAGGGAGAAGCGCGCCAAGAGGAAGGCGTGTCAAGCCAACCCCGACTGAGGCCGCCTTCCACCCGGAAATCAATGCCCTCACTGCGGAAGAAGATGCAGAGCAAGAATAGGGCTCCACAGCCACATACTGACCCACAAGAATATTGGAAGACAATCATCCTCGGAAAGCGAGGGATCGCCTAAATAAGAAAGTAAAGTAACCCTCTCTCATCTGCTCTTTGCCTGCCTGTCTGACCAAAGTGAGCAGCTGAAGGGCCAAGAAGTGAGGGGGAGCCACGTCCCATTTGCCCCTTCCTCAACCTCTTGTTGGCATGAGGCTGGAGAATTGTAGAAGAGGCTTGGTTTTTCCTTTATCTTAGTCTTTTCCCATTTGCCTCAGCCTGACAGGCAGGAGAGGGGCCAAGCATGAGGGAAAGGCAAGCCCCTTGAACGCTTCCCAAGTGTTGGGAATGGCACAGGGCTTGTAAAGAAAAGCTTGCCTTCCCTTCATGATCAGTCCTTTTACTGTCTGCCTGACTGAGACAGGCAGAGAAAGGGCAGACTGACAAGGAGAAGGCAAGCCCCTTTGCCTCTTCCCCAGCCTTTCTCAAGCGTTGAGAAGGAGATGAGACTAGGAAGGGGCTTCAATCAGCTGTTCCACTGCTTGTGTCAGTCAGGCAGGGAGCAAACAACCAACTGAGAAGGGAAAGCTAGCCCCTTAACAGGCATTGTGATTCCCAACAGCTTGTTAAGGGGCTTGGCGTTCCCTTCTTGGTCCATGTTTTGGCGTTTCGCTCCCTGTCTGACTGAGGCAGGCAGTGGAACAGCTTACTGAACCTCCTTCTGAGCCTCTGCTGTTCCCAACACTTGGGGAGGGTGCAAGGCTAGTGAAGAAGCTTGGTTTTCCATTGCTTGGCAGCCCTTCCTCTGCCTGCCAGACTGAGGTAAGCAGGGAAAAAGCTGAGAGAAAGGGAACAGCGAGCCACTTTGCCTCTTCCTCAGCCCCTGCTTGCCCTTGCTAGTCAGCCCTTTTCCTGCTTGCCTGACTGAGCCAAGCAGCTGAAGGGCCAAAAAGTCAAAGGAAGCCATGCCCTTTCCCTCATGCTTGGCCTTTCCCCTTTCTGCTTGACTGAGGCAGGCAGTGAAAAGGCTGAGAGAAAAGGAACAGCAAGCCTCTTTGCTCCTTCGCCTGCCTCATACTGGCATGAGGAAGGGGTGAAGGGTCTTGGCTTTTCTTGCCTATCTGTCCTTCAGCTGCTTGCCTCCATTGGGCAGGCAGAGAAAGGATTGACAAGCGAGAGGAAGCCAAGCCCTTGTACTTCTGTATTATATTTGCAGATATATTTTTTTTGTAATGCACATCTCAAAATTAAGGTGCACATTACAAACGATGGTGCACAACATTTGAGTAAATGTGGCAATTCTCTTCGCAAAAAGGATAATATTACAGAGTGCTATTACATGTTGCAAGCTTTGAAACCGTAACAATTATCAGCAATTGCTTCATCTGTGGGAAGTCTTGGGGTAAATCTTCATAATCCAATTTTGAAATGTCATAGGGTTAGAGAGTGGTATCAGACAGCCTGTACATAGTTGCTGTCCATTCTGGCAGGGGGAATTTGGAAATAGCAGGCCAAAAGAGGTAACTTTTCCAAGTTCAGATTTATTTAATCTTATACATATTTATTAAACAAATTAAATCTATCCATGTTTATTTAATTATTGCAATTAGGTAGATGATCTCAAAGTACTCCAACTCTTCCACCAGATAGTTATGCATACTATCTGCTCCCTTTCCTAAATCCAAATCTGTATCAAGATGGAGATAATTACTTTTAATTATGGAGCTTGTGTGATCCCTATGCGACAACTTTTCTGTCTTGTAATTCCATATTTGGGTCATAGTTCTGACAAGCATCCTGAAACAACACATTGACTAGCCCCAGCACTTTGATGTTTTTGTAGGGGTTTATGGAAGAAAGCATCAAGGGGTGTGAGAAGAAAGTTATAGGTCTACTCCAGCCAAATCATTTTAAGCTTTGCCTTATGCTGGGATAATTGGTGGTAGGAGTCAATATGTAGGTATCAGGAGGCAATGTGGTAGGTGGTAGGAGGCAATGTGCAGGTATCAGCTAATTGTTCTCATGTTATCTGATGCTTGCATCTCATCTGTTTCTGTTTCCCCAGGCCAATGTCCTTTGGAATCACGAATGATCTGGGAGCCTTCTGTGATAAACTGAATATTGTCCATATTGGTGAAATAGCCTCTGAACTTCGGTGAGATATTTTTGCTTTGTCATATTTTGCTCTCTGCTCTAAGTTTTCTTTCTTTAAAGAGCATTTATAAAAACGAGATATAAGAGTGGCTATCATAAACCCGGGAATAGCTCTTATGCCACTTTCGACAGAGCATAGTGCTTCAGAAGTCTAGCTCTGTTCATGGTCTGGGGTGTGATGGCTTTGTCTCCTGCCCTAGGTGCAGAAAAAGAGGCAGAGAAATTCAGGTACAGCTCTGCTCTCATTCCATGGATTAACCTAGGGGATCTGCCAAGGAGTTATCCGGTTGCCTTTCTGTACCTGGAGAAGGAGAAGCAGTAGCTATCACCCATTTTCACTCAAAGATGGGAGCTAATTCTGTCCTGGGTGCCTAAGAAGAGCCAAACATAAAGTTTTTTTTTCAAAAGTTATCAAATAATTTAAAAAAAACGAGTTATAGGCGGCAGTACATTGATCACTAGGAGTAGAATACTGCGTACAGATCAGAACGATCAAAATGTATCAGATCACTTCAGTACAGGGCTTGGTAACTTGCATTTTGTAGCAAGATAATACATATCCTCAGCATGTTTTTTTCAGATGGATTTGATACCTTTTGGAAACAAGCCCCACAAGTAGTTCCTGAACACACCCGTGGCCAAACACAGGCAGTGGGATGTAAGAATTGCACTGGGAGCTGCCAGCTGCAATCCTGCACATAGAACTACAGTCAGCTGCTAAGATGTTGTAAAAGAACATCTGCTTCCACAACGTCTTTAAAAGTACTTATTTTTTATTGCCAGGGGTTGTGTGAACGAAACCTGTCTCCAGGACTTTGCTTGTATATATATTAAGTGTATATTCTGCATGTGATAGATATCTGTCCGAATGTATGTCCTTCTATGACCCACCTTGGAGATTAAGATCATCTGGGGAGGCCCTGCTCTCAGTTCCACCCCCTTTGCAGTTGTGGTTGGTGGGGATGAGAGGTAGGGCCTTCTCAGTGGGCCCCCACTGGCTATGGAACTCCCTCCCCAGTGAAATTAAAACAGCCTGGACAATAATTATTTAGTGCAATAAGTAAATACAGATTAGTGCAATGATGAATGGGACAGCCTTGAATTATGAGTTTGGGCTGCATGGTTTTAATAACTGTTTTAAAGTTATTATGTATTTTTAATTTCTTGTTTTAATGTATATGTTTATTTTATTGTATGTATATTTTATGGCATCAAATTGTTGCCTACCTGTGAGACCGCTCTGAGTCTCCTTTGGGGTGAGAAGGGTGGTATACAAATGTAGTAAGTAAGCAAATAAATGAAGAATATATTTATACAACTGGAAGTGAAGACTAATGAAACTTGTTGCAAGGATAGGAGGAAGGCTGCAAGTGGCAGTATATGTGGATATGTGCACCTAAATCCAGTCAACTTGTCTTCTACTCCATTATCTTCATTTGGTATTTAAAAAGGAAAATGAACAGACAGATTTGTAAGAACATCTTTTGTAGCTGTGTGCAGAATTCCTGCAATTTTGAGATTTGTTAGCAGTGATGAAGCTAGGTCATTTTAGATTCTGAACTTATTGTGGTAAACAAACCCTGATGTATTTGCTTCTCCTACTCCCAGCTTATTCTTTTGAGCTTTCATTCCTTTCTATGTACATCAGTGGGGAATAGGGAGGTTCCTCCCCATGACATCAAGATGTCCCCACGACATCAAGAAGCAGGAGCCTTCTGAATTCATTACCGTTTAGGTAGAGCTGAATATGGAACTTTGTAGTTCGAAAGTTGGCAACAGATCCTCAACTGATAATGTACAGAAGACTTGGGAGAAATTTGTCCATGGCCATGTAACTGGGCATCCTGCATCTTCTGGTTGGCAGGTATAGCAAGAAAACAGAACCCCAAGCCCCATGGCACCAGGAACTCAAGAAGTTCAGTCAGCAGCCTAGGAAATCTCAAATCAGCATGTTGTCAGCCAAATACAGGGCAAGGTTTAATAACTCTATCAGATGTTTGCAGTGTGTGGATGAAATTAATTACAAACAGGTAATTCTTGCAATTAGTACCTGTCCCCAAAATACATTACATTTTGTTTTCTCTGACTTGTGTAACTCGAGGTTATATGCAAGTCCTTTTTTGGACAGTAATTTGCTTTCCAAAATCTCTCATACTCCATGGATCTCACTGACAATCCTACTTTTCCTAGAACCCTGCTGGAGAATGAATGTTGTGCTCTGGAAAGATATATCTCTTACTTACGGGTAAGTATTGAACTGTGCTTACGAATCTCTAGCACATCTACTTCAAGTCTTGGCCAGTTCGTTACTTAGGAAAAGTGTAGGGCAACACTTCCTTACAGTACCATATCCATATTGAGGAATGTGGCCTATGAAATGTACTCTACTGGCCCTATGGCCAATACTCTCTGACAGGTTGGAAGACAGTATATGTGGTCTTGGAACCAGAACAGCTAAATTCATTAAGCACAGAGTGGTTCTAAAATTGCATATATTTGACTTCTGCTCCCAGTTCTGTAGCTGTCCAGATAATACATTTCTTACATTTGTTTCCAGACCTGAGACAATAGTTGTGGGAGGAGAATGTTCACCTCCGTTGTGTGTGAAAACAGTCACCATTGGATTGCAAGCCTAACATAACACTGCCTCCTGCTGTCAGTGTATGCTTGTTGAAATCAGTTTTGTGATAATATATTGTCGAAGGCTTTCGTGGCTAGAATCACTGGGTTGTTGTAGGTTTTTTCGGGCTACATTCACACCTAGCTTCAACAGACAAGAGTTCTTTGTCCCACCCTGGTCATTCCACAGATATATAAACCCACTTTCCTAGTTCCAACAGACCTCACTACCTCTGAGGATGCTTGCCATAGATGCAGGCAAAACGTCAGGAGAGAATGCCTCTAGAATCATAAAATCAAAGAGTTGGAAGAGACCTCATGGGCCATCCAGTCCAACCCCCTGCCAAGAAGCAGGAATATTGCATTCAAATCACCCCTGACAGATGGCCATCCAGCCTCTGCTTAAAAGCTTCCAAAGAAGAACGTGGCCATATAGCCAAAAACAAAACAAAACCCTACAACAACCCAGTTTTGTGATAGCTCTGAGATCTATTGTCCTCAGTGCTAGGTTCTTGTAGGTGAATCATCTATATTTTGGTATAAATTGTGCCTCAAGGACAAATGTCCCAGTTTCCTGTAAGAATTATCCTTCTTCCACAGAACCAGGTGGAAGATGCACATCAACACACCACAGAGTTCCTGCAAGTAGCATATGAACCCACTATGGCTGGTAAGTAGAGCTCAGGATTTATGCCATTGCAAAGGGCTGGGATGTGGGGAAGGCATTCAGAATCAGGGTACCTGAAGTTATAGCCTTAGAATCATAGAATCATAGAGTTGGAAGAGACCTCATGGGCCATCTACTCCAACTGCCTACTAAGAAGCACAAAAATTGCATTCAAAACACCCCCGACAGATGGCCATTCCACCTCTGTTTAAAAGCCTCCAAAGAAGGAGCCTCCACCACTCTCCGGGGCAGAGAGTTCCACTGCTGAACAGCTCTCACAGTTAGAAAGTTCTTCCTAATGTTCAGATGGAATCTCCTTTCCTGTAGTTTGAAGCCATTGTTCCGGGTCCTAGTCTCCAGGGCAGCAGAAAACAAGCTTGCTCCCTACTCCCTATGACTTCCTCTCACATATTTATACATGGCTATCATGTCTCCTCTCAGCCTTCTCTTCTTCAGGCTAAACATGTCTTAAGGCAAGTGTTGCCAGTAAATTATATTATTTGCTTTCTCTCCACAGAACTACAAGAGGAGAAGCGTGCTATGGAACGGGATTTGCAGCTGAGCCCATCTAAGTCAAGCTATAGCTCTCCCCAGATGTCAAAGCTGCTCAGGAATACTGGTTGCTCATTCCAATCCAGGTAATGTGCAAAGCTGTTAACCAAGAATACTAGGAATCTGCGAAGTGCAGGTCATGTGTAGAATGAGAAGGAACTGCAGCCTTGCAATACAGGAGTGAGGAATTTTAGCTGTCATATAATGATGTATTAGATTCCCCATCATTCCTCACTATTGGATATGATGACAGTTATAGTTGAACACCTGGAGGACTATGTCTTCCCACACCCCTGTTTTAGTCAGATGAGGGCAAATGCAGGTGACTTTATGACTAGACTGTTGAATTTAAATAATACTTCTGAGAGCTTGTTATGTGCAGAAACCCTTGGAGACACGACCTTGATACTTGGGGAGAAGGATGCTTGGGCCTTGCCTTTTCCTGCCTTACAACCCATTTCTTCATTTTGTAGCCACCCAAGAGGCTCAGGCAAAGGATTCGGTTTTGGAGAGACTCGTACTACTTCGAATGTGGCTACTTCACCACATCCCAGAGATCGAACATTTCCTTTGTATCATCCAACACCATCCTGGTGGGGCCCTCCCACAGAAGGCCAGGTGGGCTTGATGCACCAAGAAGGTGATGAATCCAACCAAGCAAAGAAAAACAATCAGTCGCTGCTACCCAGAACTGTGATTCCAACACTCCCCAACAAGGAAGGCGTGATCGCTTCACCCTACAGGACAATAGCATCAGAGCTGGACTCTGTCTTCCAGCCCATGCCTCCTGTGGAACCATGTCCGCTGCCTCGCTTTTGCCCTCGTACTAGGCTGCTGAGGTGCAAAGGGCCCAGCTAGGAAGAAAGAGACCTTCCTCATCCCCAGGAAACCAACATGCTTTCCCCCTGGGGTGTTGTGCCTTTTGCTTTTGGGGAACTTTCTGCACCTGAATTGGATTTCTTGGTTTTGCTCTTCCTTGGATATAGTGTTGCGTCAGGTTCCAAGAAAAGTCAGAAAGAAGAAATGCGTCTCTTTGCTTTTCCTACAACTGCAACCTTGCCATGAGATTCTCCTCCTCCACCACCATCACCTTGCACATCCCCTGGTTCCCACAAAAAAAGACTATACCATCTTATATTCAGGAATATAAATTTCATTAAAATCTATTGGACTTTAAAAATCTACAACTGGGAGAGTCACAGTATGGGAGACGCATCACAATTATTGCTATGAACAATGAGAGGTGGCAAATGGTCATTCCCACACTCTACACAGGAGGGAAGGACAGACATGGAACCATGCATTAAATAGTGCATTTTCGGCGCAGAGGAGGGAAGGGAGTGGGTGTTGGAGGCTTAGGGCTAACGTACCATTATGGCATAGAGCCATCTGTTCTCCCTCTGTCGGCTTGTGATGCAGACATTTGGCACTTATACACTGGGCACTATGCCTGTGTCACTGGCTGGGGCAGGTACCACATGGGTAGGGACCAGACGTGCCCTTGCTGTTGGCACCGCAGCTACAACTGCAGCAATCGTGCACAATTGGGAGCTGAGGGTGCCTCCAACATGCACTGTTTGGCATTGGTAAGTGACTTGGCATAATTGCGACAGGGCAGAGGGTAGGATAGTGGCTCCTGCCTCCTCCTCCAAAACATCTCTAGGGGATAAAGTGCAGGCAGCAACACTGAAACGGAAACAAGGGGTGGTGAGGCTGGAAGACAGAACCATTAGTAACTCCTACCCTTCTGAGCCAGTGGTGGCCCTGCTATGTGTTAGGAATTTTTACAACCATATGTGGTGCAGATGCCTCTGGATAGCCCCTCCTTACCTGCAGCATGGAGGGTGTAGGTTTTCCACCCACCCCACTAATACTGGAGAAATGAGCCATAAAGAGCCTAGGCTTGGCTAGGAACAGAGGGTAAGAAGAAGTTGTGCTTTTTTGTCTTTTGTGCTTCTCCCAAATGGTGTGGGAAGGATCTTGGCACATCACCTGCCCTTAGCACCATGGTTGGCTCTGCTCCTTTCCCTATGGGATGGGGCAGGGCTAGGTCCCAATGGTCTCTTGTCAGTAGAGAGACCTGCTTTCATTTTCACATGATACTCTTCAAGAGAAGAGTGTAGAACTAGTGCTTCAGAATGTTAGCTCCGGCATCAGCTCTGCCAGAATCAATAGCAAGAACAATGGGCTTGGCTGAGCATCCAGAAGATGCAGCACAGTCCAAGACTGCAAACCTATTGCACAGCCACATGTAGTGTCTTGCCTAGTGCTACCCATAGACAGTGAGACTGTCCTAGAACTAAGTTGCAGTCACAAAGTGCATCCAGTCTCTCAGCTAACCATATTGTGTGTGAGTGGGGGGAGATACTGTATGTTTATTTCAGAGCTTGGAAGTGTGACTGATTTAGACTACACCTCCCTGAATTTCTTATCTAGCACAGGCAGTACTCAAGCTGGCCAGGAGATTCTGGGGGCTTTAGTCCAAAAAAACCTCAAATCTCCAATGTATGTTTCTCTGGGTGTGTATGTGTAAGTGGATAAGAGTGGTGGCTTCTGGATGGATGTACTAGGTCAGATACAAGATGTTGCATGCTTTTGTCTTCATGGGCTAATGGTGCTTCCAGCCAACCCTTCTCTGGATGTAATCCCCCGAGAAGGAGATCTTACAGAAAATACTAGTATGTCAAATCCTCTTAAAGTGTTTCTAGCAAGAATGTTCCCTCTAATAGGAATCAAAAGTGGAACTTCCTATGGGATGTTACTACCTCACCTTTCCTAGATAAAGAGAGGGCAAGGAAGCCGGGAAAGTCTCTGTGTGGTTGGACGGTGTGCAGTCTTCAATGCATCTCTCTGGAAGAGCTCTTTCAGGGGCACCAACTAGCTAAAGGCTGCCTAGTCCATGACTGAGCTTTTGCCGAGAATGACTGGATTAGATTTACTACTCCCACCTCACCACCCGCCTGCCCTCACCCCTCCCATTGATAACGTCATTTCTTCTCTGTCGGGCCAGTCCCTATGGCCCTGATCCAGGGCAGTAAGGGGCATACCATTCCCCATATATTCCAGACCCTCTGGGCCCAGGTGCAGCTGCCAGAAACCATCTGGGAGGGACTGCAGAGCCAATGAGGCTTCAACAGTCTCTGCTCCTGGTACCCTTCAAGGCACCCTCCCCAACTCTTCAGCCAGTGCACAGCCTCCCCACATCTCTGACCCTGGTCCTGGCTGTGAATAGGGGCCATCTGATCATTACTGTAAACATGAGGGTTACAAGATGGCACAGGGCGAACAGGGCACTAATGAGGTGGGTGGGCGGGAACTCACAGACCCCTCCCCCAGAGTCCGGCACAGCCTGGGAGCCAGGGCTCCCCCACCCAGTGGGGGGCACTGTAGTATATTGAGCAGAGTAGGGTTTTGAGGACCAGAGCAGGTGGGAAAGGGGAGGTACAAGGAGAATTCCCTGCCCTGCCTCCCAGGCTAAGGTTCAGATCTTGGAGTCCTGGCTGTGAGTTGAGCCATTGCTTCCAACGGTGATGGCAACAGCCACGCCAGCCTCATCGCTTTTGGGTTTTTCAGGGTTTAGCAGCTGCACTTCCAACTGGGACTCCGTGGAGGAGCTGAGCACTGGTGCGTAGCGGCCTGTCCGGTGCTCCAGAAGAGCTGGACCCCACTCACGGCTGGGCCGGGTTGCGTTTTTCAAACGCTGCAGAAGCAGAAAGCACAGGAAATCAGTGGTGAGTGCTGATCCCCTAACAACATGCAAGGCAAGCACTTGTATTAGCACCCACTTGTTTGGGAAGCCACCCCCCTCTCTTCCCAATGCTCTTATTTACCCAGTCTCACCTGTAGCAGCGAATCCCCTTCAGAGCGCATGATGCAGAACACTGCATAAATAGGGATGCAGACGACTGACGATAGCGCCATGAGGAAACCAATAGTGATGGCCCAGGTGGGGTAGACATATGTATTGTAGGAGATGGGCCGGTACTGGATCACCGTGAACACAAGGATAAACTGGAAGAAGAGAGAGGAAGAAAACTGCTTGAAAATTAACCCACAGGCCCATTCCCAGCACTAAAAGACCAAAATCCCTTTGCAGACATACTAGTTCTTGTTCTTCATAGGTGACAGTAAGGCCTGGTCAAAACAGTTCACTGTTTGCAGTCAAATAACAAGTAGCTTCACCCATTTATTTTTTCAAACATTTGTATCCTGCCCTTCTCAACCTCCGGGGGGTGGGGGACTCAGGGCGGCTGAGGAATCATACACCCAAAAGCCACCCAATATATTTGGGCATGGGGGAAGAAACTCTTTAAGCAACACTCCTGATATTAAGCAGTAATAATACAGTAAGAAAATCTAACTGATCAAATAGGATGTTATCATAGCAGTTACAGTGGAAATTACAATGCTATACCTGTGTAGTGTGGATGGGTCCTGCGTACAAGCACACACTCTGTCTGTCTGTCCATCCCTAGCCCCTCACTCACTCTCCTACCTCATGCAGCAGTTCCATTCTCCCTCCCCTCCCCCATTGTCACCTTCACACACTCACAAAGATGATAACAGGAGAGATGAACCTCCAGCAGATCTGGAAGAAAAGGGGTGGCGGGAAACCCAGCATCATCTCAATGTCCTTGAAGTAGTTCCGGTGCCCTTTATGAAGCAAAAGCAAAAGGTGGTCAGCAGACTAGAATGAAATGGGGATGTTGCAAAAGAGCACCGTCCTCATAGCTCTACTGGCAGAGGGTAGTCTATGGGCTTCTTATATTGGGGCTTCCTCTCAATTATTATTATTATTATTATTATTATTATTATTATTATTATTATTCTTTATTTGTACCCCGCTAGCATCTCCCGAAGGACTCGATGCGGCTTACAAAGGCCAAGGCCTCAAAACACAACATAACAATACAACACCTAAAGCAAATTAAAAACAGTTAAGCAATATTAAACAAGCAATAAACAATACATCAAGACACTATAAAACTGGGCCAGGCCAGAGTAATGGGTACAGGGTTAAAAGTGCTGATGTGACAGGTGATATGTAAGGATTATAGGGTAAGTGCAGCATGCGGTGTGCAGCAATCTTAGTTCTAATAAAGTGCTTCTGGGACTTGTTATTGGAGATTCCTATTCTGGAAAGGCACATTGGAACAGCCAAGTCTTCAAGTTCTTTCTAAAGACTGCCAATGTAGGGGCCTGTCTAAGATCTTTGGGGAGGGTGTTCCAGAGTCGGGGGGCCACCACAGAAAAGGCCCTGTCTCGCGTCCCCACCAAACGCGCCTACGACGCAGGTGGAATCACAAGCAGGGCCTCTCCGGATGAACGAAGTGAACATGTGGGTTCATAAATGGACCCACTGTCTCCCCTGTCAGTCTTGTATTCCTCTCCATATCTCCTGTATTTTTATCCAAAAGCTTTTCCTGCTGTTATTAAGGCTGTGACAGAGGAAGGCTCAGAATTTGTGCCAGCAGTTTCTGCCACGATGCCTAAATGCACTATAATTTCCCACAAGGGCTCAGTATCTGATATACCAGTGGGAAATTAAAATGATATCTATGGACTGAACTACTGCATAGTGAGTCAGCACATGGCCAAATTATATTGATTTAATGGGCCTTCTTTAGTTAAAACTAAAAATAGGATTCAGACTATCATCTTTAGAATCTTCCAGATTGTCCAGCCACAGCCATTTTAGTCCTACAAGAGCTTCAAGGAGTGGAGAGGGAACAGAATTGCCCACACCACTTGTTCTCAATCTTTGCCCCATCAGATAGTTTGGATTTTAGTTCCCAGAATCCCTTCCTACTGACCATATTGCCTGCAGCTTATGGGGATTGCAGTCCAAAGCAAACGAAGGGCCAAAAACCTTGAGAACTACTGGTCAACATCACTTGACTGCAAAAGTTAAGCAGTGAGAAAGTCTCATAAACCAAGGTGCAGCAGAATATATTGATTCCATGTCTCTCTCTGCTCTAAGTTTGCTTCTTATTCTTGAGTCTGGCAGTGGTACCTATGCGTGCTGGTGTCCTATACTCTTGTTTTAGTGTATGATTTCCCAACAAACTGGAGCTTATTGTCAATCACATGGGATCCTAGCAATCTTAACAAGGTATGAGAAGTGTGGCTCTGCTGCTGAATTTAGACCGAATACTCCAGTTTACCACAACTGAGAATATT